TCCAAGCTGTGGCCCGGCTGCAGCCTGCTACTGGTGGAGGTTCTGGGGATCAACACAGCAACCCTGACAAGTACAACCAAGAAAATCACTCTACAAGGAAACACAAGTTCATGTTCAACTTTTTATAAAAGACTAGTTTGATTTAGGAGCACCCAGGTGGCGCAGTGGGTTAAGCATCTGCCTTCAGCTCAGGTCATGATTCCGGAGTCCTGAGATCGAGCCCCACATCGGGCTCCCTGCTCGGCGGGGAGTCTGCTTCTCCCTCTCCCTCTCCTTCTGCCTCTCCCCCTGCTCATGTGTGCTTTCTCTCAAATAAATAAAGCTTTTTTAAAAAAGACTAGTTTTGACTTAGAATGTATGAAATTGGGATTATAAACTATTATAATTCTTTGAAGGTTTTGAAAATGGACCCATACGGCACATAAAATCTGGCTGTCTTCAAAAAGCAAACCATAAGAGACTCTTAACTCTAGGGAACAAACTGAGGTTTGCTGGGGGGGCGGGTAATGGGGTAACTGGGTGATGGGTATTAAGTAGGGCACGTGATGTAATGAGCACTGGGTGTTCTATGCAACTGATTAATCATTCACCTCTACCTCCGAAACTAATAATACACTATATGTTAACTAACATGAATTTAAATTAAATAAAATAAAAATAAGTATGCTCCAGAAAAAAAAAAGCAATAGGAGTTTCAGAACAATCCAGGAAGTTGACATTTGAAGTTAAATAAACTTTAATGCAGACCAGCTTCTAAAACATTTTTAAGATCAGTAAAAATACAAGAACATGACACTATTGAGCCTACTGTCAACGGTTGTAATTACTTTAACAATAATTATAACAGTAAATACACTGAAGTTCTTAACATGACAAAGTCCACTACCTGTAAGATGAGGACACTGAAGTCTCTACTGAGCACATTTCACCTTGTAGAATAGCTCATGATTTTTTTTACCAAAATGTAAAGGTAAAGAGCCTATAGCTTCTTTAACTATGACTAGAATGTGAGCAGAATAGAGATAAAAGCTGTATGTGAACACAATAAAACTTAATCCCCAAATTCTTCAAATGTCCATAACTGAATAGAGATATTTGAAGGCATATGTCATTTGTTGACATTAAAGTCTTTGCTGAAGAAAACTTAAATCTTTGCACTTAATTGCATGGGTATTACCTTTGTCTTCATGAAAATAAGAAAATAAATTAGTACAATCCTTTTCCCACCTAACTTGAACATTTTTTCTTTTCATTTTGAACTGATCGTTCAGAAAGTAAAACTATTTTCATACTTGGAAAATCATATAGCAGTTCTAGATTCCCCTTTGTGAGAACCAAGCCATATAAAAATGCAACAATAGGGGCGCCTGGGTGGCTCAGTCGGTTAAGCATCTGATTCCTGATTTTGGCCCAGGTCGTGATCTCAGGATTGTAAGGTCCAGCCCTGTGTTGGGTTCTGCGCTGGGCACGGAGCCTGCTTAAGATTCTCTCCTTCTGCCCCTCCCCACCCTCTCTTAAAAAAAAAATTAAAAATTCAACAATACCTTCCTATACACATTCCAAGAAAAACAAATGAGGGGAATGTGTACACAGGTTTTTTCCAAATTCCTCTGGTTTTTTGAATGATCTTTGTGAGGCTTAATTATAAAGAACTACATTTCATTCTTTTAAATGTTTACTAAAAAGAAATACCACCAAGAAAAGGAATTATAACACTATGGAATCTGTTGGAAAACCCTCATCTTTAGCTTTTGAAAAGACAAAGTGCATGGGCTTATTTCACCCCAGATGCTATTTTCTTGCTCTTAAAATGTCCGTATGTGAGATGGAAGCACCATGATTGAAGGAAAACTGATGTCAAGTAGATATAAAGGTGATTTTTTTACTTTATTGGTTTCCACTCCAAGGCCATCTGCAAGACATAAAAAAGCAGGTTAAAAGAGAACTTCCCAAAACGACTCTGGCCACATTTTATTCCCAGATCCCAAGAGCTGATATTCCTGTTAGAGTCTAGATTCTGGGTGTTTTTCTAGACAGCAACCGTTGGCATGTTGAGAATCTACAGTATTGCATGAAAGCTAATCACAGAGCATTGAAACAGCAGTTTGCTCCCACGCAGGTACTGATACAGAAACAACCTTGAAAACTTATTTTGAAATTATTTCAGTAACTATTTTATATCTCATTAGTTCAGTGGTTGATCTAAAGAACCCCCCTTCCTGAAATGCAAATCAAAACCACAGTGAGACATCACCTCACACCTGTCAGAATGGCTAAAATAAAAAACACAGGAAACAAGTGTCAGTCAGGATGCAGAGAAAAAGGAACCCTCGTGCCCTGTTGGTGGGAATGCAAACTGGTGCGGCCACCATGGAAAACAGTATGGAGGTACCTCGAAAAGTTAAAGTAGAGCTACCCTATGGCCCAGGAGTAACAATTGCACTAGGTATTTACCCAAAGAATACAAAAACACTAATTCGAAGGGATACATGCATCCCTATATTTATAGCAGCATTACCTACAATAGCCAAGATATGGAAGCAGCCCAAGTGTCCGTCGATAGATGAATGGATAAAGATGTGGTGTATATATACATATACAATGGAATATTATTCATCCATAGAAAAGAATGAAATCTTGCCATTTGCAACAACGTGGATGGAATTAGAAGGTTTTATGCTAAGTGAAATAAGCCAGAGAAAGACAAATACCCTAAGATTTTGCTCATATGTGGAATTTAAGAAACAAAACAAACAAACAAAGGGGGCGAAAAAGAGACAAGCCAAAAAACAGACTCTTAACTATAGAGAACAAACGGATAATTACCAGAGGGGAGGTGGGTGGGAGGATGGGGGAAATAGGTGATGGGGACTGAGAGTACACGCATCGTGATGGGCCCTGAGTATGGAAGGGTTGAATCACTGTACTGTATACCTGAAACTAATATAACACTGTATGCTAACTACACTGTAATTAAGATTAAAAACAAAATAAAATATAGAATAAAATAAAATAATATAAAGATGACCCCTTTGTCCATCTTCTCCCCTTCCAACCTCAGCCCCCAATTTCAAATGTGCTAAGACGCCATGACATTGCTTGGGTCTGCATTTTTCGTTTGATTTTAATACTTAATAACTCTCTGAAGCGAATTAAGCAGTCCATCCCCCCGGCACCCAGACCTCCCTCAAACTGCACCCCAAATGTGAACATCATCCAGATGTGATATTTTACAGGAAGCAGTATTCATGTATCCATTAAAATTAAATGAGTCTATATTACACCAGGATAGCACTAGGAATTTCAGAGAGCTTAATTTCATTTGATTCATACAATAATTCTGTACTAAGGCAGGTTGAGTATTATAGTGGATTTAGAACTAATTTTTTTAAGGAAGTTCAAGTCCTGCCCCTGCCACCTAAAGCTTCAGTCACACGTGACTCGGGACCAGCCTCCAACCCCCTGTGATGACCGTGAAACAATGCTTGCTGTAACCTCTGCCATCTCGAGATTTTCTCGCAGCTCTAACATTCTCATTTTACAGAAAACAAGTGATGCTCAGAAAGGACAAGTAGATGTTCAAGACCATATGGTCAACAAAGGTGGCACGTGTACTGGGCCCACAGTTCTCACCCCCAATCCATCCTCTTCACACGACGACACACACCAGGACACTGGGACAGAAGCAGCTGGCTAAAAGGAGCAGGAAATACCATCCTAAAGCTATTTTTCAAGCACCAAAATATGTACTAAGCGTGGAGCTAGATCAGAATTGATGGGCTCTCCACCAGAAACTTATTAGTTAACCAAAAAAGCTATGGTGGTTTCCACGTGATTACAGTTTTCTCCTTACGGTGTCATAAATGCTCAGGGCATGTCCAACAAGAAATCAAGAAGCCATCATTACGGTGAAATGATAGCTTTCCTTTCTCCGTCCACAAGCCAACTCTATATAACTAATTAACAACAGTGAAGACCTTGATGATCCTAAAATCCTTGTTTCCATTTTTGTTCTGGCAGGCAAGAAGTTCAGTTAACCATAAGAGTCAAATACACTAATAATCATAGCAGAGAATCTGCTTTTCTTCTCATTTAATAACAAAAAACAGCCAAAATGAAATAACAGTAATAACTAACACATTTTAGTGCCTTCCATGTGTCCAGCACTGTCCTAAGCATTTTATAGTAAACATTATTGCTTTAAATTATCCCAACAACCTATGAATTAGGTATGATTATTAGCCCCAATTTATGGATGAGTAAACAGAGGCACAACATAGTTCACACACTTAATGGAGAAGCTAAACTTGTATAATCTGACTTGAGAGTCCATTCTCTTAATCACCAAAAATGGGTTCTACTGTCAATTTCTAACATATAAGGCATATGTGTGTGGGTGTGTGATGTATATGTGCTTGGATGTATATTATAATATGTATAATTACAAGATATCTTAATTCACTTTTAAATAGGAAAAATTAATCATAGATCACTATGTAAATATATGCCATTTTCAGGGCAGATGAGTCACTCTGGAATACCAGATACAGACTGATATTGTAAGAAATGAAAGTCTGAGACAGGTGGCAATATACATATGTCTCACTAATCACTTCCCTCCCCTTCCAGCTTTACATTCAGGGAACAGAAGAAGGAATTCCAGATGAATTTAGTCTTAGTCATTCTTTTTTAATTCTGGCCACCAAAATATGAAATGCACAATTTTAATATTGTACTAGCATACCTCTTCTGTATAATGTGAAAAAAATGTCTAATTTTATTTTCATTTGCTTTATGATCCTTTCTAGCTTCTGACTGTTGGTCTTTACAACCTGGCTGATATTTTGTTTTCATGGTATTTGTTGTTTAGTTTTTTCTCCCTGGGTCATCTCTTTTTGTCCCACTGATGGTTGTTCAAATGATTCTTGCTTGTCAGGTATCTGTTCTTGGGATGGTTGTCCCAAGGATGGCTGTTCAAATGATTCTTCTTTGTCAAGTATCTGTCCTTGGGATGCTTGTCCCAAGGATGGCTGTTCAAATGATTCTTGCTTGTCAGGTATCTGTTCTTGAGATGGTTGTCCCCAAGATGGCTCTTTGGGCAATTCTTGTTCCTCAGGTTGTTCTTCTGATTGTGTCGATGATGATTCTAGTGATTGTTGTCCCATTGGTGGTTCTCTTTGGTCTTCTATTTTTACTGGGGTTTCTAGTAGTATAGGTGTGTTTTTTCCCTCTAGAATGTCATATGGTTCTTTTTCTTGTTTTCAGTAAACAGAATAAAACAAAATCACCAATAAACATAGTAGCCATCTAAACCAATTGAAATAAATCATAAAATGACAAACATTGCACTATATCATTGATTTCATATTGATAGTGATAATATTTTAATAAAAATAATTCTCACATAGGATATTACACTTACAATGTGATTTACATACATTATCACTTTTACTCTCACCTGGAAATAAGATCTTAAACAACCATAAAATAGGTAGAATGTAATAGTATCAGAGAAGCTTAAGAGAAGTATAAATGATGTTAGCAAATATTAAATAGGACATATTTGTTAGTTATTTAAAAATTGAAAAACCATAGGGAAGGCTCTTGCTTTTTCTATAGGTCACTGAGGTTAAAAAAAAAAAAAAGGCACTTTTAGTAAGATCAAAAAGAATCAGAGTGCAGAAGAATCGAGAGCCACTGTCTTTCTCCAGAAGAGGCACCAACACATGAAAACCTATAGAAGCAGAAAGATTACGAGGTACTTATTAAACTATCACTCGCCAAACCACACGTGTCAATGATGACACCATCTATTCCTGTAGTGATACAGGCCACTGGGTATAGGGGATCAAAGGCTGCTCCTGGAAACTGAAAAGAGAACTATTTGAAATTACCTGTGGAAAAACATCTTCAGTGAGAGGCCTCACAGAACCTCAGAGAAGCCAGGTATCTTCACCGACGTGCTTACCTGTTGCCTTCCCTCAAAACCTGTTCTTTCTCTCCTTTGCAGAAGCAAGACCTAGAGCCCAATCCAGAGCCCCAACTCCGACTTCATCCTTGCCCCTCAGATCCAGCCTGTGGCCAAATCTGGTCAATCTGCTCAACTCCAAGAATCTTCCTGCAAAGCCCATTCTCTTTCTAGTAGTGGCCCACGCCCGCTCCAGGCCTCTGTCACCTCAGGGAACGCTGTCCCTTCTCCACAGCCCACAACCGCTCCAAGCCTCTGTCACCTCAGGGAACCCTGTCCCCAGGCCTCTGTCACCTCAGGGAACGCTGTCCCCAGGCCTCTGTCACCTCAGGGAACCGTGTCCCCAGGCCTCTGTCACCTCAGGGAACCCTGTCCCCAGGCCTCTGTCACCTCAGGGAACCCTGTCCCCAGGCCTCTGTCACCTCAGGGAACGCTGTCCCCAGGCCTCTGTCACCTCAGGGAACCCTGTCCCCAGGCCTCTGTCACCTCAGGGAATGCTGTCCTCAGGCCTCTGTCACCTCAGGGAACCCTGTCCCCAGGCCTCTGTCACCTCAGGGAACCCTGTCCCCAGGCCTCTGTCACCTCAGGGAACGCTGTCCCCAGGCCTCTGTCACCTCAGGGAACGCTGTCCCCAGGCCTCTGTCACCTCAGGGAACCCTGTCCCCAGGCCTCTGTCACCTCAGGGAACGCTGTCCCTTCTCCGCAGCCCACGCCCGCTCCAGGCCTCGTCCCTCACAGAACGTTGTGAGGGAAGGTAATGCTCTCACCTTCCCCTCCCTCCTGCTGTCCAAGTCATTATCTTCCACAGAAACCTGATCACACCGCAGCCGTGTCTGACACGGCGACACGACAAAGCCCCAACCCTCAGAGTGACACAGAAGGCTGCAGCACAGCAAGGGCGGCCAGGCCCGCACTCCCCCGGCCCTCGCCCGAGCGCACAGCCGCCGGAGACCCTCCCGCCCGCCCGCCTGCACACGGGGCCACACTCCCGCTCTGACCCCAGGGCCCGGCGCTCTGCGCTGAAGGAACGCCTGCGGTGACCTCCTGCCGCTCACCGGAAGGCCGCGTGGGGAAGACGGCGGCGCGGCTGGGAGGAGAGACAGCCGGCGGAGCCTCCGGCCCACGGCCGGCCCCGAGGGATCCAGGAAGACGCACTACTGTGCGGAGTCCCCGAGACGCGGGCGTGGCTGCGCCCGGCCTGTTCGGCCATCAGAGGCCCCCCACCGAGTCTGGCCGGTCTGGCCGCCGCCCCGTCCGCGCAGGCCGGCGGGCACCTTCCGTGGGCGGAGAGCACGGCGCAGCCCTTCTCCGCACCGCCTCCCGGGCGGATCCCTACTGCCCCCCCCCGCGACGGCCCGGAGCGACCCGCTCCTTGACGGCACAGTGCGCACACCCCCGCAGCCTCTCCTGGGCCCGACAGGCACGCTCCAAGACAGCCACACACCCTCCAGCCTCGCACGCCCCCGCGCCCCCTCCCCCCCGCAGGCGAGCGCATGCGCGGGGCGCTCAGCCACGCCCCCGCCCGGAGCCGCAGGTGCCCACGGCTTCCCTCCGTGTTCGCGCGAGTCCCGGCTCCCTCCTTTGAGAATAATATTGCACAAGTCGCAAAACCATTCTGGGTTCCAGTTATTTCTTTTTTTTTTTTTTCCCGGTTATCTCTTGAAACACAGGGTAAAAGTATGAATCTTAAAAAAGTAGCATTACGGTAGTAAGTGAATGAAAGCAGACAGTGAGCGGTAAAAATTGATCATGATCAACTCGTGATCACATACGAGTTTAAACAGCAAAGGGGGAACTAGGTACTGCCACAAGGTAACCTGACCGTGTACCAAATGACAGGCAGAGGCAGTGAGAGCCAGCAGGTCCTACACATAAAGCATTCCTAAACACACAGAAAATTAGAATGTGCAAGATTAAAAATAGAATTAAGATATTAAAGCACTTACACCCCTCACTGAAATGGACAGATCATCTAAGCAAAAGATCAACAAGGAAATAAAGACTTTAAATGAAACACTGGACCAAATGGACTTTACAGACATAATCAGAACATTCCATCCCAAAGCAAC